AAGAAAGGAAGCTAAAAAAGCTTTATTAAAGGGTCTCCCAGGAGGGATTCCATGGTCTGCAGAGAGAGAAACAGGCAGAGGGACAGACCAGGGAAATACTGCCCCCTAAAGTAGATTGTTGTTGTTGTTGTTATGTGCCATCGAGTCGCTTGTGACTCATAGCAACCCTGTGTACAACAGCCCTAAACCCTGCTCAATCCTGTGCCAGTCACACTGCCTCTGACACACCCATCCCGACTACCCTAGTTACTGGGACATTCCATTGTGGTTTAGCCAGGTGGGGGGCACTCCATTGAGGTTGTTCACTCCCTTTGTTGACATGTTGATATTCCTTGAATCCTTTGTTCTCCCTTTGACCTTGGTACAGGCCTGACAGTCTTACTTTGCAGGATAAATGGGAAAGGGGCAAATGAGAAAGGAGATCCCCCCATTTTGACAGCTCTACCTAGACTATGACCTGTTTGAGCATTAGTGGCCTTACAAGGGGCTGTGCTGCCAACACAGAAGCATGCAGTTCAAATCCACCAGCTGTTCTGGGGCAGAGAGATGGGCAATCTCCTCCCAAGTGATTTAGTGCCTATGGCAACCTGCTGGAGGGTCAGCTATGAGTCAGTTCTTACTTGATGGCATAGAGAAGGTATTCTAGCGGGCAGGCTAATGATTTGGTTGTCCTCTGATTAAGGTCCATGCTACCAACAGTTCTGCCTTTTATATGAAGAAGGGGGGGGGGAAGTCTTTACTCTCAAAGAAATAGGCTTGCTAAATCTATTTCTTTCCTCATGTAGTTTTACTTTTGTCTCTTTTCCTGACCCAATTACCCTAGACACATTTGGCAGCAGAACTGGCATTTCTATCTACTTGTGGATTGTGCCTAAACAGTAAATAAATGTAGCACAATTTGTCAGTGAGCTCTGCCAAGAGGAAAAAAAGAAATCAAACAAGAAGATAAGCAAGGCGTGGGCAGAGCAGGAAGGGTTCAGTCACCATAACCAGGAATGATTTTATGGGTCAGGGAGTGTGCTGGGCGTGTGCTCCTGGGATCTAGACTTTTGTGAACCACGAAGGTCAAGAACACCCCCAGACCATTACTTTTTAAAAAAAATTATACTAGTTTATTTACAAAATTCAAATACATTGTTTTCCAGACCAGATTCTTCTAGACGATCACTCTTTCTTTTTTTTTTTTTTAGACCATTACTCTTAAAGAACATTTTGGATCATGAGCCATTAAAAACTGGTTTCCTAAAATTCTATTCTAAATCAAACAACAACCTGGTAATTTAACCCACCATCACTGAATGGGTTCTAACTCACAGTGACCCGGGTGACCCTCTACTGGGATTCCAAGGTTGAAAACCTTTCCTGGAGAAGATAGCCCATCTTTCTCTTGAAGAGACGACAGTGATTTTGAACTGAAGACTTGTTGATTGAGACGACAGTGATTTTGAACTGAAGACTTGTTGATTGATTATTATTGTTGTTGTTATGTGCCAGAACTGACTCATAATGGACCTTCTGGTTGGCTTTCAATGGCTATAAATCACATGGAAGGAGACAACCCATCCTTCTCCCATGGAGCAGCTGGTGGATTCAAACTGCATGCCTTCAGGTTGGCAGCACGACGTTTTGCCACTAAGCCACCAGAGCTCCTTTCATTGTTTTAGTTACCAGTGGTCAATCTCTATCTGAACATTGTAGCCTTAATGCTAGGTTAACAAAGTCTCTGTCATTCACCTCACATAACTTTTATAGCTAATATTTTACTGTTGTTGTTAGGTGCTACTTAGTCATAGTGACCCTGTGAACAACAGACCTGAACCCAAGGTCTATCTTGTGCCATCCTCACAATCTCTGACACACTTGAACCCATTGTTGTTATCACTGTGTCAATCTATCTCCTTGAGCATCTTCCTCTCTTTTGCTGACCCTCGACCTTTCCAAGCATTATGTCCTTCTCCAAGGAACAGCCTCTCCTAGCAACATGCCGAAAGTAAGTGAGATGAAGCTTTTTCTTCTTTGTCTTCAAGGAGTACTCTGGCTGCACTTGCTCCAAGACATATGTGTTTGTTCTTTTGGCAGTCTATGAGATAGTCCGTACTTTTCTCCAGCACCACAGTTCAAAGTCATCAATTCTTCGTCTGTCATCTTTATTTCTTTTCTAGCTTTCAGATGCATAAGAAGTTACTGAAAAAGACCATCACCTGAATCAGGTTCCCCTTAGTCCTCAAACTGACATCATTGCTTCTCAGTACTCTGGAGAGCTCTTTGATAGCAGACTTGCACAATGCAATATATTTTCACTGGTAGTAAAGCACAGAAGAGGAGAGTGCCCATGTTTCTCCGACTGTGCCTCTGGTGGATTCGAACAGCCTTCCTTTGGGTTGGCCCCTTACCCTCTAGGGCCACCAAAATACTCCTTACAGCAACCTTCAACTATAGGTACTGCCTTACACATGAGAAAACTGAGGCAGGGAGAAATGAGTCATCCAGTAAGTATAGGAAGGACCAGTATCCCACTACCAATCTGATTCCCAGCTCTTCAGAGAGTTTGTTGTTCTTAGGGGCCATCGAGTTGAGTTCGACTCATAGTGACCCTATGAACAACAGATCTTAGCTCTGTCCTATCCTGTGCCAACCTTACAATCTCTGACTCACTCGAGCCCATTACTGCAGTCATTTTGTCAATCCACCTGGCTGAGGATTGAACCATGAAAGTTGAAGGAACAACACATTACTCATCCTCTCCTTTGCATCCCTCCACCTTCCATAGCATGATGTGCTTATACCAGGAATAACCTCTCCTAGCAACATGCACTAAGTATGGAAGATGAAGCTTCGTCATCCTTGCTTCCAAGGAGCACTCTGGCTGCACCTTCTCCAAGACATATCTGTTCTTCTGGCAGGGCATCGGATGATCAGTGCTCCTCCTCAGCACCACAGTTCAAAGGCATCAATTCTTTTGTCATCTTTAGTCACTGTCCAGCTCTCAGATGCATAACAAGTGATTGAAAAGACCATGGCCTGAATCAGGTGCACCATGGTATGAATTAGGCACTTCCTCAAACTAACATCTTTGCTCTTCAGTAATTTGGAGCATGGAAGAGAAGTAAGAGGAAAGGGTTTTTTATTTTGTTTCCAAAAAGGAACTATAGAGGACAAAAAGCAAACACATATAAGGAAAAGAGTAGAGAGAATTTCAGGGAACACAGAACGAAAGCAGCTTAGAAGTTTCTTGAGTGCTGCAAATAACAAGACATAGGTTTCAAGGATGAGGGTCGGAGGAGAAAGGTCAAGGTTCCCGACACCTGTTAAAGCCCCGCCCATAGCCCAGGCCCCGCCCCTAAACTATACGGTTGGCTCTCTAGCCCTAAGAGAAGGTGGGACTTCCTAATTGAGGCCAGCTACTTCCGGCAGAGTCCGGAACACTCTACGGGGAAGGGGCGGGGCCCAAACTGCGTGGCCAATCGGAGCGACTCCTAGATTTTGCCGGTGGACTCGCGGGGTAGCTCTTAGGAACCAGCACCATGGCATCCGGCTGCAAGATTGGCCCGTCCATCCTCAACAGCGACCTGGCTAATTTGGGGGCCGAGTGTCTCCGGATGCTGGACTCCGGGGCCGATTATCTGCACCTGGATGTAATGGACGGGTAACTCCGCTGGGCTCGGCTCGGGCTGCGGCGCGGGGCGGGGTCGGCGTGCCTTCTTCGGGCGCCTGTTGGCTGCACGGCATCACTTTGCTGCGGGGAGCCTCCCGGTGAAAGGGAGCCAGGCCGGAGTCCCGGAGACGGTGCCTGGACCCGGGGCGACCCCGCGGGCTGCGGCCGGAGCCCAGAGCACAGCCCTCCCCTCCCCCTTGTGATGTGTGGTCGTCCAGCACCCTGAGACCTAGGGCAGTTCCCTTCATTTTTCACTTGGAGACACTGAGGCCCAAGTAGATATGACTTGCTCAAGCTCGTATAGCTAGTTAGTGACAAAAGTGGCGAGATAGACTTGCGTAACGAGTAGCAGCTTGGCCCCTGGAGCAAGATCGCCTGACTTCTGCCACTTGCACAGCTTTCTTGGGCAAGCCACTGAGCCTCGTTGAGCTGCAGTGTTACTATCTGCAGAGTGAGGATAATGATGGAACCTGCCGATGAGGCATGCTTGGTAGGTGAAATGAGTGAATATATGGCATTTAAGAAATTCTCGACAATTGTTAGCAGCTGTATTATTCTCCTTTTCAATTTCTTGTCATATTTTTCCTTAAGACACGCTGCTGTTCAGGGAGGTCTTTTTTTTTTTTTTTTGTTAAGTCTTAGTTACTGTCTGTAGAGAGCTGCACTGCTAACCCAAAGACTGCACCTCTGGCGGTTCAAATTCCCCCAGTGGCTCGCGGGAGAAAGATGGATAGTCTCCTGAGCGATTTACAGCCTGGGCAACCCACTGGAGAGTCAGGTGTGATTCAGCGACAAGGAGAATGGTTGTGACAAGAGCCCTGGTGGTTCAGTGGTCAGGCTCACCCGCCAGCTGCGAGGTGGGCAGTTCAATCCGACCAGCAGCCCCGTGGAAGAAAGATGGTGCGTTCTCCTTTCAGAAAGATGTACAGCCTTGAACACTGTATGAGGCAATCAAATCCTGCCCATAGGATTTTCATGAGTCAGAAGCAGCTGTGAGACAACGGGTTTGGCACTGGGGTAGGGTTTTTGGTACTTGGAGCACATACATAAGTGACAGTATTTTGAATCCAAATGATGATACATTTCTCAGATTATAAAAAGGAGAAACAAGTTTTCACAAGATTGCACAAGCTTGTGGCAGAGTTAAAATTTGCAGCTCAGATGGCAAATTTGCCAACCGTTTTCTGAGGCCTGCTAAGAACGGGTCACAAAACCATTAGAGTCGGGCTAGAAAAGGACATTTATTTCGTATTAGGTAAACTTCTCTGTGCCTTTATTTAAGTTTGTGCAAGTAGTATTTTTACAAAAGATTGTCAACTTCCCTTTACCTTTAATCTCACTCACGTCTAAGACTTGTTTTGCTCTGCCAGGTGAAATCTGTTGTTTCTCTTTTTCCATTTCACCCAGCTATTGTGCCAGGCTGTTCCATGCATAATGCCTTGAACTGAGGCTTAGGCCTTCTTAGTTAGACCTACGAATTACAGACTGAGTGTGTAGGGTTAGTATGATCCCTCACAAAAATCTGATGTTTTGTAAAGCGTTTGCTATTATTGTGATTCTGTTGTTTTGACACCCTTGCTTGGTAGCCCAGATCTTCTATCCATGTGGTGTGCACCTCAGGGATTTACGTATCTGGGAAACAGATGGCTCAGGACAGAACTGGCTGCGTGTGTGCATATGTAGTTTATCTGACATTTTAAACTATTTTGATTTAAATAAGTTTTGTACACACATATATAAAGCAAGCAAATAGATGGGGAAATAATTTGTTTCAGTTCCCCACTCAGAAGTGCTAATAAGGACAAAGCCAGACCCCTTTGCCCTCATGTACTTTCGGATTCACTGTAACTTTATAAGGCTAAAGTAGAACCTCCCGAGCTCTGTGAGGTGAGTGAGTAAGTGAGTAAGGAGTTCTACCAAGGTAGAGGCAGGCGCTTTGAATCCACCAGCTACTCAATCAAGGACAGTGCGCTCTCTCCTCCCGTGCTGTTTATGGCCTCTGGAAATCCGCAGGAGGGTCAAGTTCAAGTTGGTTCTGGCCTTGATAGCAGTGAGTCTTTTGGTTTTGTTTTTTTAAAAAATTTGTATGGAAGCTGATTGCCACATCTTCCCCATGTACAGCAGTTGGTGGGATTAAGCCACTGACCTTGAATTAGTAGCCAAGTGCTTAACTGCCATGCCACCAGGCTCCCTCCATGGTGAGGAAACTAGCTAATATGAGCATGTAGCGATTTCTGCGCTTTTTGTGAACTAATTCACAGTCTTACTGATTTGGCCCTGTTATTACCGCCATCATTTGACGGTGAGGGATGGGACACCTGCTCTAATTTCATCGCTGCCGTGCTTGGAAGCAGTGCCGAGCCTACGCTGTCCCAGAAATCAGCTGTCTCAGAAATCAGCCGCCTTCTGTGACCTTTGCACTTACAGAGAATAATTAAGCCAATCTTTGTGCTCCACGACGAAGAGTTGGTACATGTATTCGTGCCCTTTACTTCATGTCTGTCTTGCTGTGTAGTAAGTTCCCTGGAAGTAGGGCTGTCTCTCTTGCTCACCTCTGTATTTGACAGATAAGTGTCCTGACGACTGACTGTCAAGGTGAAGGAAACCAGGGAACCACTTTGCTCCCTCGTACCCTCTTGGCAGCTTATCTGATAAAAGGGTTTTTAAAGTTGCTTTTTTATTAATTTGAAGCCTCATCCCTCTTGATAACTTGTTCATTTGAGGGGAAAATATTCTACAAAATATGTTCAATTTTAAAATTGACTCTTAGTTTTCACAGTGTTTTAAGAGAGAGAGAGAGAGAGAGAGAGACCATAAATATTGAGAGACTGAAAATCACTCATAGTGTTTTTAATCTCCTTTTGCAGAGGAGGAAAGCAGATAGAGGGGTTCTGTCCCTTCCCCACTGTCCGGCCAGAAGAGGTGGAACCTGGCACGGTGGAGGCCGTTCACCTAGGCAGTGCTTGCCAGTGGCTTCTGGCCAGGTAGGAAGGAAGGTGGCCTTCCTCTCCAGCGGTGGCCGGCCACAGCATGCCACCTTTCCAGGATTGCTTTCCTGCTTTCTCTTTTGTCCTGGTTCTTTAAAAAAAAAAAAAAAAATTATCCAACCTTAAACTCACATGCTATTTTCCCGGCATGTACCCTCTACCCCAACACTTATAAAAATACAACAACAAATAAAGTCTCCCGGCCTTCACATTGCTTCTGACTCAAAAGCACCCACCTTTAAAAGATTTCTAACGAGATTATAATGGGTTTTTTTGAGAGTCAGGAGTACAGCCACATAGGAGACCATGGTAGGAAGGGGGTTGTCTAATTTTGGAAAAAGTGGAAAGTGGAGGACATGAGTTTGGTTGGCTGTGTGAGGTAAAGGACAAGTGACTTCTTAGAAGACCAGCAAGCACTTAATGCAGCATGATAGAAGTGACAGGCGTATGTTGGTCCATAGCATGGTCACAGAGTGAAGAACAATTTCTAAAATAGTTACCAGGATTTTAGATTAGAGACCTGTCGGGTTAATGCTGGATTTCCGACTTCTGAAAACAATCCAAAGATTTGCCAGTATTGGATCCATGATCTTGCAACACACAATGAACTGGAGCTAAATAGCAGCCGCCTTCAGCCAGGCCGGGAGTGCTGTGGTTATCCCATCCCATCTGCTCTGTTTTGCTCCTGGATTTAACTGCCAAAGGAGGTTCAGTGGCCAGTTGTTTGGCTGCTAAACAAAAGGCGATAGTTTGAACTCAACCAGTCCCTCCCCTGGAGAAAGATGTGGCAATCTGCTTCTGTAAAGAATGTGTCGTTCTGTACCCGTGAGTCATAGCTGACCATCCAAAGGACAAACACATATGTCTTGAAAAAGGAAAAAGTGCAGCCAAAGTATTCCTTGGAGGCAAAGATGGCAAAGCTTCACCTCCCAGCGTGTTACTAGGAGAAGCTGTTCCTTGGAAAGGGCCATCATGCTTAGAAAGGTTATCAAAAGAGAAGAAAACTCTCAACAGGATGAATTGATTGACACAGTGACAGCAACAGTGGGCTCCAGTGGATCAGAGATGATGAGGATTGCACAGGATAGGGCAGGAAAAGGTCTGTAGTGCTAATTAGGGTCGTTCTAAGACATGCTCAGCTCAGTGACCCCTGACAACAACCGCCACATGGCAGGTGATTGCCTGCCTGTCCCGAGTGCTGCCAGCCTTGGAAATCTTACAGGGCCGCTCTGCTCTGTCTTGTAGGTGTGTTTTGAGGTGAATTTGACAAGGCCAGTTCCTGTAAACAAAAGAGTTTGTGATTCCTGATTCATTCACTGGAAGATTGTTTTTTGGTTACCATGGTACTTTTTTTACCCCAACCTTGATCCTCCTCTTTGCCTTGTTTGGAGATCTGTCTGAATTACAATTATTTTATAACCAGATTAGGGTTAATGACAGAACCTGAGGAGAACTGAGAATTTTATCCTTGTGTTAGAAGCAATTACAGTTTAAACCCAGTGAGTCACCTTGGAAGAAGAGATACTTTTTTACTACATTTTATTTTTTATAGCCAAAAAAAAAAAAAAAAAGTCTTCAAGTTGGGGAAGGGGCTTGGAGGGAAAGCTCAGTAATGATGAAACTTTCTTAATGAAATTCCTTTTTTATCAGCCTGGGACTGTGAAATGTTTTCTTGGGTTGTCTGATGAGAACTTCCTGCTGTGACACTTGTTAAAAATTTCAGATTCCTACTTCTCTGGTCAGAGAAGCAATGTAGCATCAGATTACATCTTCCCCACTCAACATAAGTGCTCGTTAAGAGAACAAAGAAGCAGTGCATCTCTGTTAACATTTACAGCCCTAGAAACCAATACTTAGAATCTGGACAACAGTGGATCTCCCACTCAAGTAGTCTTGGACCCTAGAAATCAATGTGTAACAAGTCTTAGTGACAATACTGTTTCAAGTATATTTTGGAACTCCTAGACTTCTTGTTTAGTTACATAGCCTTTTAAATTACAGCCT